GTACAAAATAGGTATTTTTTACATCTCAGAGGCACATGACAAATCTGATCTATTTTATATATATACATGTACATTACATGAAAACCAGAGATGAAATGAAAAAAGTGTATATAAAAAGTGCCCGAAACAGGAGATACAATATGAAAATAAAATGTACCCTCACAACAGAGAAGGAAAAGGCACAAGTACTTAAATATGTAACCATGTAAAAAAATGTAAGTACAGTCTGTGCAACAAAGCAAAACAAATGGCTCTCACAACCGATTTTACAGCAATTCTCAAATACTTTAGTATTTAAACAAACCATCAGTGCAACATTTACTGCTCTGTAGCGTATTAAAGTGTCCACATGATATGAAATTCTTGGTCTCCCTTCTGACTTCCTTTCCCCAAAGCGAGAATAGTTTAGCTATGGATAAGGTATTGAATGACATGGGGTTGATGTTGGGTAGCGTAAGATCACCACTGCTCCAACTGTCTGGATGGAAGAGTAACCGTAGTCCTCCTGCACCCCTTACCGCTTGCATATTGAAGGTGTGTTTGCAGAACAACCACCTTTACGGGGCTTTATGGGGGTTTGCCAGGGTGAATTTCCTTCTGCTGAGAACAGCGATGCGACAGTCGCACCACTAACACCACCAATATAAAAAACACATTCTAGGAGTAGGTGTCCAAACTATACCATAGAAGTCTACGTTTGTTAATACATCTTTTCATTAGGTTTAAAATTTAAGTAAAAAGTAATTTGTCTCTAATTACATGTTTGAATAGGTACTACTCTTGCAGTTGAACAGAACTTAGAGACTTAAGCCGGTAAGCAAAAAAACCTCCAAATTTTAAGGAACACAATCTGGCACTGTCATCTGGCTCCACACTGTGGCAAACGATGGTCCACTGGCCCTCATTACAGATGTTTCTGTCTTAATGGGCTGCCGTCATTGTCTATAAGGAATGCTTGCTAGGCTAAGCTAGCAGGGCTGTGTCTTGCAAACAGAGCGTGTAAGCACAGCATGCAATTGGACAGCTATACAGAATCAAGGCAAAACTTACAGAGACATCCCAGTGATCCCTTACTGGATGGACTTCAGGCTTATCCACCCTATGTGCTTGCATATCATGTGAATCAGCTACAACATTTGTCATATAGATGGGACACAACGTGCTTTTCAGGACCTCACAAAATGAATGGACTGGTATAAAGACAGGGCTAAAATTCCTCATCTCAGTAGCTAAAGCCGTACTGAAGCCATGAACATCGTGTTTGTTCCTCCCATCTGCTCAAAGTGGCTGCCCCACGGCACACAGACACTCTGACAGCAAGCGTGGTGGCTGGGGAATGTCAAGAGAAGTTATACGGGGGAAGAATCCCACAAAGAAACAGCTCCAGCACATCAGAACAACTCCCAGTGCATGATGCAGGATTACAGGATTCAGACCAAATACCTTCTGCAATCCTTATCAAACTCTGAAGGCAAACACAGAGTTTCATTAAATAAGAAACCCACGCATGCCACATGCTCCGACAGCAAACTGCTCCTAGGATCAGTATTTTGGATTGAAAAGTACGGAGAAAACAACCCTGAGAATGCTGCAAAGGAACAAAATGCCAGCTACTCTTGAAGTGTATCCTTTAAAATCAGCAGTGTTACATCACTTGTCATGTCTTCTTGACAATGTTCCTTCAGTAACAAATGACATAATGAGAATACGAGCATGGCTACTTACACCAGAACCAATCCAGGAACTGCTCAGTTAAAGTTCACTTAAATCAATACAAGCCAAGCCACTGATTTGGCAAGCGTTTGATCAGCTGCTACTTCCTTCCTTCCTTGGAAAACAATCCCTCAGACCACACCATACAGTATTTGTTTTAAGAGAAAACCACTCTATGTTCACTGCCATTAAAGACAAAAAAAAATAAAGTATTAATTTATTTGTAAATTGTAGTTCTCAGATTCATCACATGTCACTGGCACTATGATGCAGAGACCGCTGAACACGATGATGTAGCAGGCCACAATGCATGTTTATGTGTTAACTTCCAAGCCCTCAATTACTAACCAGATTAGAGAGCCTAAATACTGTAGGCCAAGATCCTCTCTGGAGAGTAATGCAGTTCTATGGAAGTAAATGGAGCATTGCTGCATTCAGACAGCAAAATATTTGTTGATACCTGTATCTTTGAGAATTAGCAATGCTGTGTTCAACTCCCTGCACTGCAGGCTGAGAAATGTCAGAATTTCTCCCAGGACCATAAAAGGAAAGTTGGCAGCAAGTGTATTAGTTTGTTTTCTTGAGACTTGACACAAATTTGCATGTAAAAAAACTCTTTAAAAATAGGTCAGACGGTTAACAGTGTGTTACTGCTGCACTTCAAAACATGACAAATTCTCAAGCAGCTTGAGTCTTTAACAGAAGTTACTCAAAAAGCTGAAAAATACCCTTTTGATGTCAAGGTAGTTTTAAATCAGCATCACACTCCGAAACCAGAAGTAGCCAGCTGTCTAGAGGGAGGCTGCCAATATCAGAAAAATCTCAAGAGACTACATTTCAGGTACTCTTTAAGTGCAAGTTTTGAAAGAGGCATTTTTTCTGCAGTAGCTTGTATGTGGGATTAGCCTGACGAAGGACAGCTTTTAGCCAGAAGCAAGCCATGTTTTTCACTGTACAAAAATACCTGCAGTGGTTCGCAACTGGTCTGACCAGAATATCACTGAGCTTTTCAGAGTCTACAGTAGAACGAAGTAGGGAGCAGACCAAGGTAACAGTACCTTGGATTGTGTTTGCTTCCCAGAGGGTTAAGTGAGAAGCACGGTTTTGACACAAGGATGTTTACTGCATTTGAGCATTGCTAGAATGACATGATAGCACATTTCTGTGTTTGAAGTTATTTACCCAGGGAAGTGAAGCCATTGGTTCACCAACAGTAACACTGACACAGTGCAGACTGCACTTCCCCAGCTGGCCTGTGAGCACGAAGGAAGCCCACAGTGAAGAAATAATACATTTATCAGAGAACAGACACTGAAACCAGTGCCTCCCTATCTCCCACACCTCTTCGCTGTCCTGCCAATGTGTCTGACACTTGATCACAATATGCACTCTCTGAAATGCTGATACCAGATTGCTCTTCTCCCTGCCCCAATGACCCATCGAGTGATCCCTTATCACTAAGTTACCTGTGTCATAAAACGTGATGACTTCTTTTCTGGGACAGAAGGATTCTCCAAGGCTTGGACTGCAAGACAAGTTGGTCTATTATCTGTAGTTACTCAGGCTAAGAATGCAATTGCTAATTAGTATTTTGAGAGGAAAACGTATCTGCCAGTGAAATGCCTCTCCCACCACTCACATTATTTGTTTAAACATAGGAAGTATCTGGATACATATTTGAACAGTAACAGCAATACCACATCGAGGGCCCCACAGGACCAGAGATACAACTTCTTTATGCAATAAAACAAAGCTACAAACACCACCAACATGGTGGTAAGACAACTCTTCCAATTGCAAACACTGAAGCAAGGAAGAGCTTCTAAATGCTGAAGCAGCTGGGTACAGAGCTAAACAAGGAGTCCTGCAAATCTGCAGAAAATCCACTGGTGGGTACCCTTGGCTGGAGTGCTGGTTTCAGGATTTCAGCAAGATTTGGTGACTATTAGTTACTGCTAGTGACTATTCACCTCTTACATATAATTACCTGCACAAAAACTTGGCTATCGCTACAGTCATGTCATTTTCTGATCATGTCCATGGGCTACGTGGTCTCAGTGAATGAAGTAAGCCAGGCTCTCTGCTTCCCAAGTGCTCAGCATAATTTTCAGTGAAATAGTCCTCAACATTTGCTGACGTTCTACCCTAAGGGGACAGGTCTTTGATTATTAAAATTTTGAGGCTGAGTCCAGTTTACTTAAAAATATTGAGGGGAAAGCATTCAGCCACCAGGTCTGACCTGCACTGCACGAGAGCAGGACAGAAGCATAACTCACCAAACACAACCAGCTCCCGCAGCAGTGCTCGCCCAGCCCTGCTCATCACAGCAGGTCAGCAACAGCCACCTGACAATTTGAAACAGTTCTCTGTGGCCCATAAAAAGAGCAAAGTCTTTGGCACAACCCACAGACAGCACCACACAGAGAGAAATGCCATCACGAAAGCGCAGGTGAAGAGTCCTGTAGGCAGGGAGCTGTCGGCAGCACTGAGCTGGCTTAACTGTTCCTCTCCTACCTTCTGGGTGGCACATGTGGAACCAGCAGTGGATGGGAAAACGCATACGTAGGGTGTCTGTGCTGTTCCACCTGCTTCTCCACAAACAGCAGCTGCTGCAATTTAGCACAGGACATTTTACACCATCCCCAGGTGGCAAAGGAGTAGTCTTTAAATCTCTTCCTCCAGATCACCCTAGAGCCTCAGGACACCAGCCCTGAGACGTCGCTGTTTAAAGAAGACTGCACCGTTTCTCCCAGAGCACTGAACTCCTAAAGACATCTCAGTGTGCTGGGGCGTTGTGTCCCATAGTTATTGCTCCGGTCTCTTTCACCTTCCAGTTACTTTACACCTGCCTACTGCAGATACATAAAAACAAACTGGTTTTTATTTTCTTGCCTTCGAGAAAGCCTGATTTCAGTATTTCCCCCCATTCCCATCTCTCTAGTAACACATCACTGAAGGTAAGAGCACAGAGATTGCAGAAAAATATATATATATATTTACATCCATAACTGAATACATGTTTTATGTATTCAAATCTCAGAAAAATGCATCACATATACACACCAAAATACATCAAGAGAATACTAGGGGCAAGACAGTGCCAACAGCAAGAAATACACAGAAAAGCACAGTCATTGCTACTGTAACATTCTTCTGGGGAGTGTACTCAATAAAGGAAACATCTCTATGCATTGGGGAGAGCCAGATACTTGGGCCAACTTTTCTGTGCCAGTTGGTGTGAATTAAAAGTGGGAAATTTTTACTTTAAAAAAAGTGCATGGAATAACTTTTTTTTTTTTAGCATTTAACTATCCAAACAATTCCATAAGCTCCTTATATAATCTAAATTATTAATTAAAAAGGTCCTAGCCCTACAGTACACAGATCCAGCCCAGGAGAACACAGGCACAAGTTTAAGTCCATCCCTATTTAAGGCAGCATTTAAGCATACACTCAACTTTAAAGTTTATGCTCTGTCCCACTGACTTCTATGAGCAGTCACAGCACACATTTAAAGTTAAGCACCTGCACAACTGCTCATCTAAATCAGGATGTGTTCCCTGTTTAGATATGCATGTGTGTACTCAGTCTGGACTGGTAACTTCTGCAAGACCAAGCTCTTTTCCTTTTTACTGCCCTATAGGTAAGTCACTCCACATCAGACTTCTTTCCACCACTGTGTCAGGACTCAGCTGGTCCTCTCCACAGCTCACCCACAAAATGATGATCTCAAAGGCGTGCAGCGTGTCTGGGGTGGGAAAGCAACTCAACACGTTTCAAGGGCTGTTCATCCTCCCCATGAAGTGAGCTCTTTCATGCAAACTGGAATGTGTTCCTTCAGTGAAAAGTTTAAAATTAAGGGTGAGGGGAAGGGGCAGGATCCCAGAGTTCATCTTAATGGCCCATGATAAACCCCTGAAAATAGGGGAATAGATTTGAAGAGCTTCTTAGCCTCAGTGCTACAGGGACCCTGGCATTAAAAAATACACATGCATACACACACTAAAGAGCAGGCTGGCTCAGAGCATCCCAAAGCAAGCTCCAAAGTGATCTCACATAAAAAGCACTTTGTGCTGACAGTGGCAAACAAGTGGATGGTGATTTTTCACAAATAACAATTCTGCAATATATTCCTCTTCTTCCCTTTTGCTTTGTGTCTTTCCTTTTCCCAAAAGTTGTTTGTTTTGATTTTTTTTTTATCCTATGTGTAGTTTAAGTACTAAAACTAAATCAAATAGGAAACTACATGGTCAGCACCAGTCAGGAACTGAACCTGGATATGTTAATTTGTTTGCGGTACCCAAATTCCTGGAAGAACATAAAAACAATTCTTGCTCCTAAAGTCAGGGCCACATCCATATGTTTCCATTGTCTTTTTTACCTTTACAACTAGAGGTAGAATCATTTTGTCCAGTATCTAAAACAGCATGATCCAGTTATATTGTTATTACATTAATATACAGTATCCATCTTATCACAGGTATTGAAAGTGCATGGAAAAAGTCTAACCAAGCCAATTCAATGACAAGTAACAGTGTACCAAACATCATATAAACACACCCGCGCACCCACACTCACACGTAGTGTCTATCTATATTTATAGATTAATTTACAGTATCAGAGTGTTGTTTAGATCCAGTGGCATGTACAGAAATATCAGGCAGTTGCTGCTTGTCCTTGTCAATTCTTTATTTCCAAGATAGATGGGTTGTGGTCTAGGATTGCCAAAATGATCTTGTCCATATACTGTCGCAATCTGTAATTTATCTCTTCCTGTTCTTTAAGGGCTTCCATGAGCTGAAACACAACATTTCAAAGTTACATTTGAAATATTCACTAGTTTACATAATAGCATGAAATTCAGACAGGTGAGAGATTAGAGCCTGCTCAGGATCACCAATTCCCTTTCATCATAAGTATTTTATGTCTAGCTCCTCCCAGTGTTTCTATCTTTAGAGACAGATCTTTAGTTAAAGATCTTTGCTATTAAAGAAGGCGGTGAACAGTCAACACCAGGAAGCTTTACATTTGAAACAAGTTCCCCTTCTAACACACCAATGCATCCTGCACCCACACCATGGATGGGCTTCCTCATGTCAGTGCAAGAGTTTCATGATACTAATTGTTTTTCTTATCTACTGAAGTCTAAAGCATTTTGTATGAAAGGCTGCTGAACAGAACAGGGATTTCAGTGCTTCGCACTAGAAACAATATAGGCTGCTTCTGCATCATGTGCATACTCTAAAAAAAAACCTACCAAAACACCCCCAAAACAACATAGCTACATAACTCCTGAAGAACCACCCACTGAATATTCTATGTTCTATACTAAAGACATGTGTTTCACTAGACCTTGGAGCTGTGAAAGGCCCCTCAAACTCTCCAAAGATGAAGCCTGCTTGCTTTTTATACTCTGCATGTTTACTATCAAACTGACAAAGCTGCCCAGGAGTGTCAGAGCCCCAGATTCTCCTCAAGCTAATGTAATTTGGGTGTCCATTTCCATTAGCCTTCATAAAAGTCCCACCCTGAATCCACAGCTTCTTACCTTCACTTCAATTATAGAGGAAGAATGGCACAATGGGAAAAGTTTATGCAGGTCTGTGAGCTTTACTAAGCCTGGGCCAGAACTGTAAGGCACTTTCCTCCTTTAGAGAGGGAGTGCTAGGTGTTCCTTGCATGAGCCAGAGTAATGAGATTCAGAAGGAGAAATAAAGATTTGTCTTGACAATAGCAAAAGCCCAATTTTTTTCTACCTAATTAGAGTTCCACAATTAAACAGCCTTTCTTCACAGTGCTCTGGTTCAGCAAGAAACTCAAGTATGCACTTCATTTCAAGGGACTGCCCAAGAGCTAAGGCTAACAGGGTCATTCAAGTACAGATCGTGTAAAAAGGTTTGTCTCAGGACTCCTCTTGAAGAGAAATGGGAAGTTCTGTCCAGAAGAAATAAAGCATAAAAGGCAAACAATGCCTTTTAATCTCCTTCATCACTAACCTGTCTTTTCCCCTGGGAGCTCTTACATATCCACTGGCCTGATCTCACTATCTGTCCTGGAGCTTACAGGAAGCTGTACCAGCTTGACTCAGCCCACATACAAATGGGTCCCCTATAATACCTTCCAAAGTATTACCAGATTATTACCTGCACACTACCTACTTTTGCCAAGAATTCAGCTCTGCTACAGGGAAAACATAGCTCAAATTTAAGATCTAAGTGAGAGCTTGTTACTGAAGTAACTTAGAAATAAATCTAGAACTGACAGTAAAAATCTAAGTAACTAGCTATGGTAATTTTTGTGTGAAATAATGTCATAATAACACAGTATCCTGTAAGACAGAAGATGTCAAAATAAACCCATTGTAAAGCAGTTCATGGAGATTCTAATAATTCAGATTTTGGAGAGAGTCAAATGGAAGAGTTATATTAAAAGGAGCATTCAAAACCAGTTAGATTTAAGGCAATCTTCTAACACTCTTGAACTCCTAGCAAAGCAGATTTTTCTGCTGTTCATTTGTCAGCTTCAATTAGTTCAACCTTGACAGTTAATTACATTGAAAAACGTGTATTTTTGGATGTAGTACTTGATTAAGAAAGCATATTACCTCATCTCTTGATGCAGAATCAATTTCAGCAGCCAGTGACTGGGCTTTTGTTTGCGTTGCAAAGAGATTTTTAGCTTCATAAAGACTAAGACTTAGGATCTGTCCATTTAAATCATCATTTTGGTCACGAAGTTTCTGATTCTCCTATTTAAGGATGAAAAGACATTGCTTTTAAGTTCTTCCTACAATGTTTCATTAAAAAAATATTTTTTTAAAATCACAGGCAGCTTGGATGACATACAGTAAGGCTGCAAGCTAACAGCAACTCTCTTATCACCAGTGACAGGATTCACAGGAGTTTCTTATGTGCACAATTCACGTTGCCTGCGCAAAGAAGTCCCAGACAGATGTAATGCGGGTCCTGTGCTTGTGTGGGAAGGGGAGATAAGATCTAAAGACAGTGTGCTAGGGGTTGGAGCTATAGGCATTTTTTCAAGGCAGTCGTGTACATTTCACATTGATTGGGAGGTGCTTCCCTGCTCACCTGCTTCAGCCGTTTTATTTCATGCTCCATTTCCACCTCTCTGGTTTTGGCGTTGAATTCACTCACGCTGGATGAAGAACTTCTGCCACGTCCGGGACGCTCACATTCCAGCTTGTAGAGCTGCAAGTGCTCCAGTTCCTTCCGCAAGTCTTCAATGAGCTGTGGGCATGCAAGTAGGCCATGTCTCTCCAGCCCCTGCACAAGCAGCTCCCCCCTGGCAACAGCCACCTTTGTGCTGCACCTCTGTGCTCTGCCAGAAGCACTGGGTGAGCCTGGCTGAGGCTGGACATTCCTACAACACAGTCACTTACTCTTCTAAGGAAGTACAGATCAGTTAAACCACTTCAGAGCTGGAAGAGGCTCTGATCTCTAAGCTTCATGTCTGAGAGGCATAATTCCCCTTGCAAATTTAGTAAAGGGAATGTTAGGGCACATACTCAAGGCTGCAAATTCTCAAAGAGTTGTAAAACCCCTTGGAACATAGATTGCCATTCATTAGTTGTTCTTGCAGCATTCATTGCCCTATGGGTAGCATTCCCATAGAAACACAATCCAGTAATGCATTCACTGGATGTTGTCAGTGTCCATCCTGTCTGGTTTTTTCCAGATGGACTTTCACATAGATGAGATGCAATTCCCAAGTCTTACATCCCTCTGCACACCTACCTCCTGTGTGGCTTCCCTCTCCTTGTTAAACTCCAGTCTGTTCTGCCGCAGCTTGTCCATCATTCTCTTGTACAAATCCATCTCATCCTTCAGCCGCAGAGTAGTGTCTTCCAACCGGTCTGACATGCGTTGTCTTTCCTACAATAAATGGGCAACTTCATAGCTAGCTTGCAAGTGCATGAGCTAGCTTCAGTTTTACAAAGACACAGCTAGTCATAAACTGGCACGTGTCTCAGGGCATTGCTGCCAGTAAAGGTGACCAGCGTTCCAATTCCATCAATATTCTTGTTTAGGGAAGGAAAGTTAAAGAAGCTGGGCCAATCACTACATGAGTTTGTTCTTACACAAATAAAGCTGCTGTTAAATGGTTCAAGCACTCAAGAGTTTTATTACCTCATCTAATCTCTCTGTTTGTGATTTCAGTCGCGTGACAGTGTTTTTCAGCTCATCATTTTCTTCTTCCAGTCGCTGAACCCTGTGTCAATAACAAAAATCTTACAGTAATTGCCTCTTCAAGAATGCAGACATGCAAGACAGCCATTTCACTTCCACTTGATAGAAAGACCAAACAAGAAAATCTTCCAACCTTAGCATTTTTTCTCATGAGCTATTGGGTGCTTTTTGTTTGTTTTTAGGGCCAGAAATGCTACACTGACCCTCAGAAACTTATGCCCCTAACAACAGGTATCTAAAAAGAATTAAGTAGGAAGAAACAAATGCAGACACAAGTGTTTGCTACAGCTGGTCACAACTGCCTCCTTGAATCCATGCCAAATACCTAGCTAAGCTGTCTACATAGGCCATGTGGATTAAAGCATTAATGTAAACCATCCTCCAAGCTTTTGGGCATTAGACAGGCAACTGCACAGCTACTCTACAGAACTACCAACCTGTAACCATCTGTGCACTGTCTGGTTCTGAACAGCCTACATTTACACACAAAGTAAAGGCGAAGAAAAGAAGAACTTGTACTCTGTTCTGGGTGGGACTGAGACATTTATTACCTTGTATTTAGCAGTTCAATTTCGGTGCCTTTCTCTTTTTCATACTTGCTATATGCTTCTCTGTGTCTCTTTATTTCTTCTTCCAGGGTCTGTTCTGCTGATGTTTCTTGGTCTTTCAACAGTTCTTCTAGCTCGTGAACTCTAAGGAAACCAAATCTCATTTCAGTACCAGCTTCACAAGTACTTTAAGAAAAAAAAAAGTGTGCAACTTCATTACCTCTCTCTTTCTTCCCCATTTCTTTATTTTGTTCTACTTCACTATCTCTCTTGGCATTTAACCTCTCCCAGTATCTCTCTTGGTATTTAGACTTCCTAATACGCATAGAATTAAGGAGTATCACCTTCATCTATTATTCTTTCATTCTCAGTTTCAACAAGTTGGGACTATGATCCAGCCTTCTGCTCTTGCTACATGCAAGAAAAAAATTCAGCAGTAACCTCTCTCACAACAGAGGAGCTTGCTTCTACAAGTCAGTAACATCTCTGGACTTGGAAACTTCCTTAGAAGACCTCTGCTTGCTGAAAATTCAGCAAGGTAGCCCTATTCCACTTGGACTTCTCAGATAGTGCCTTATCATATTTTGTCTGTCAGCATTAAGGCAGAAGACTTGGTCATATTTTACAGGTAGAAATACTTCTTCTCTCCAGCTTTGTTCTAGCTCTGCTCTGACACGGTAAAGAGACCTGGCTCTATGCTTTATTACCTGTGAACTAGCTGTGTGTTCTCCTGTTTCAGTTTGCTCTTCAGGTCACCATTTGTCAGGCTATCATTCTCCAGTTCTGTCACCTTTTTTTCTAGGTACGTTACCTGAAAGGGAAAATGGAAAAGAGAGTTTGAATCTCTCTTCATACACCACTTTACTCTTTCTAATTGTCATTTAGCCATGCTACTCTTTTTAAAGGAGGTACATTTCTCTGTGAAGCCAGTAGCAGAATTAAGCTCTGAAATTCTGAGTTCCCCAGATCCCCCATCTTCCTTGAAAGTGATCAATGCAAACACACAGTAAAGAACTACTAATGCAATGCCTAGAACTGTACTTGCACAGTTCTTGTTTTTTTGGTGAAACAAAGTCATTATATAAATGGAATATCACAGACATTCTGAATGAGCTACTTTAGATCACTGCTAGCTGAGCAAGAGAGTTTTGTCAGTGGGTGTATATCTCCAGCGGGATTTTGTTGGGTACATTAATCACAATGCACACAGCTTCTCACCTTTTCGGTTATGTCATTATCACAGGAGTCTATACTGTCTCTGAACAGGTCTTCTGTGCTGCCATTACTGCTGCTGAAGTTACTGTTGTGGAAGAGTTGTCTGAAAGATTAGAAGGAGAATATTTTGTCTGATGAGGATGGAGGAGAAAAAGTCTGGCTACTGTCTTACGGCCTAGCTTTGGACTTTGAGCATCCGATGCTGAAATCTGTGCAATCATTTCTGCGATAATTAAAACGCTTTATGCACAACTCTTACAAGAGACTGGTAGCTAAATAAGTCATACTGAGCACAATCAATGACAGTACTTCTGTTGTGAATAATCAATGACAGTACTTCTGTTGTGAGTTCTTTGTTGCTTTTGATAGGATCTGCCACCAGCATTAACACAATTTTAAAAACTACTTATTCCTTATTCATACTATGTACTAAGTTGTATTTGGCTTACTAGAAATTGGAATAATAATTATTCCAATAGTTTATTGGAATAATCTCCCAGGGGAAGTGGTAAATTACCCTACATTGGTCAATTTTAAGAGTCAGCTTGACAGGGTGCTGGCTTATCTCATTTAAACTGTACTTTTGTCTTTATAGGTTGGACTAGATGATCCTTGTGGTCCCTTCCAACCTGCTATTCTATTATTCTATGAAATTTCAAATAAGGTCACCACTGTGCACTGGCCGGTGCCGTTAATCTAGAAAATTTCATATGCTAAGAGCTTCTTTAAAAAAAGAGGGGGGAAAAAAAATAAAGAAATCTCTTATTCCTCCTCTCTCCTTCCACCCCAGCTTCTGGAGTTGTTACAGCTGATTCCACATGTATTTATAAAACTGTTGAAGACTCTTACCTTCCAAAAGCTGTGCTTGATATTTTCCTGTTAGGGCTACATGGATACAGAAGGAATGATATAGGAATTAAAAAGTTATTTTATCAGAGTTGGATTCAATCTTAATTTAAACCCTAGCTGAACTGCACAACGAAACATAATATTGACTATTTTAGTGAAGTAAAAAAATTATTCTGTGAACAATATTCTTAGACAACTTAATCAAAAGCGGCAGTTATTAACAACGTGAAGATGAGTGGAGCCACAAATGACTGTGATCATTAATAAGTCAATTTGCAAATACTGTTATTTAGCAGAGATTTGTCAGTGTCAACCAGAGCAAAACTAACATTAAAACAGCACAAAAGGACACTGAGTTAGTGACGGACGTTTATTCTGGATTCTCAGTTTTTAGTTGATTTTATAAACAGTTAGTTTACCCTTCCCCAGAATGCTTCCCAGTTTAGCACAGGAACTGTGATGCTTTCCATTTCCACAGTTCACTTCTGCAGCCAGAGACTAGCATTACCTAAATGAAGGACCAGATTCCAGACAACAGCACTAGAACCAAATCAAAATATCCAGCTGTATCTCTCGCTAAGAGGATGTCACATCTGTGTGCACACAGACACACAGCTCTTTGTCAGAGCATCGCTCTCTTTCAGCCAGGTATATACAGCCTCAACTCATAAAATCACCAAAGACCCAGCTGGTCACCTTCTGGGCATTAGCAGACTCCTTGCTAGGGCAGGAACACTGTTCATATTAAGTACTATGCTGCTGTGTCATCAAGAGAAGCCGTGCAGTGCGCTCTGTGCTAAGGACTATGCAGACAGGCAGGATTTACATTCAGTTTCTAGGGGGAGCTAGAAGCCCACCAAATATTTTCCTTCAAAAACCTCAGATGATTGCTGGAAGCACTGGATTCTTTCCCAGTGCTCAGCACAGTTTAGAAGTGGATGGAGGGGCAGAAATAGAAATGTAAGGAAAAAGCTGAAATTGCAAAGAACCCCAAAAGTAACTTCTGCCATAGGATTCATCATTTTTCCAAGTTCCCTTGAGGACAAAAAAAAAAATCCTACAGGAATAAAGTACCTCTGCTGACCAATAGCTTTAGGAGAGGTGTATGTAAGGTTATATGCATTACCTAAGGATCTGCCAGATCACTCCTTCCCACGTGGAGAAAACAGTAGCTAACTGCAGATCTGCACTAAACAACACAGCAGACTCCACTTCCTGCGAAAACTTCCTGGAAATATCACTCTCACTCTGCTATCAAAAAGCTCACTGGTTAAAATGAGTTTATTAATGCTGTCTGCACCTGAAGTCAGAAAAATACTTATTAGCTAATGAAGAACTGCATTTTGGTTCAGGCGAGATGTCAAAGTCTGAATTTCTTACTGTTTTACAAGAACAACACATATGTAAGACAGAATGGGATACAGGGAAGGAGAGGGCTCTTCTGCCTCTCCTCCAGCTACTATCTAGTCCCATTTCAAGGGGGCATTGCTAAAAGCAGTGCAAGAGGCTGCTTACCTGTTTGCTTTCAAGTTTTTCAGCCTGGCTACCAAATCGTTGAGTAGGTTTACCTTTTTGCGGCACTGTGAGCAGTAAACATCCAGTAACTCGTTGTTATAAACATGTCTCATTTTTCGGGGTGTTTGGCCAGCACTGTTTGCAGGAAAGGAGAGATGTTACTGGCTATAGTAACCAATTCACAAAAGGTTTTCCTCTTGTCTGTGTGTCAGAATCACAGATGAGGGACTTGGGGAACCACCTCTAACCAGCTCATCTAACTTAGAGCTGATGATGGAGGATGCTAGTCTTAGGGCAAGTCTACCTGTCTGACTTGAGGCTTTACAGAGGACAGGTTCTGAGTGTCAGTGCAAAGAATCCGTTTGGGTGACTGGAAGAATAGCACAAGGTACAGAGTCCATGCGACGCATGTAGCAAAAGCAGCTACATTAGTACGTTCCACCTCAGCAATGTCCCCATCTCATCTTGCCCATCTTCCCACTAAAGCCTGGCACGCAACCTGAAGAGTCTTTTCTCCAAGAGAAAGAGACAGGAAGATGAAAAATAGAGTGGTCTGTTAAGAAGAAGTCACATGAACCCCCTCAGATGGTAGGACGGAAGGAACCCTAGAATGAGGAGGAACGGAGAAGTGGACATAGGTCTAAAGAGAAGATAACAGTAGCTCCTGGCATGATAAAGAGAAAATAAATTCAAATAAAAGAGAGCAATCATGGCATGAATTGCACAGAACCCCAGGAATGAGAATGGAAAGGGCTGCATAAACCTGAGGAAACAGGGTATGAAGGACACAAGCCATCACCATGAAGGGGCAGAGGAGAGGGGTGCTGGCTCTGCATGCATGACAGAGGTGCCAAGGTTGGATGGCACAAGTGCTTGAAACAGAGGGTAGCACATGGGGGTCTCATGAGGAGCAGGGGGATGCAATGAGCTTGTCCTGTATTAGCAATGAAACACAAGACCTTCATGTGTTATTGGTCCAAGCAGATGGATCCTAAAGCACTTTCATGCTTGGTTCTTCACCCATTCCTTTGCTTAGGGAAGGTTTTTAAAATCAGCAACTGACTTGGGCATAGGTCATAAGTGCTACAAAGACTGAGGTCACATCCAGGAAACTGGTGGACTGTAGTGGCATTTTCAGCTCCTAACAGCAGCTACTTGCTTATGTTCTCCAAGATATTCAAAGTCAGTATGGATGCTTATTTTAAACAAAACCCCATCTGTATACAGCACTTCACCTTACAGGTTAGTGCAGGATTTGAAATATCAGATCACTATAGAGAAACAGCTCTCTTGTATGTCTTCTCTCCACTGCATCAGGGCTGGTATGTAGCACTAAGCTGGTTTCCAGCTTGCTGCAGATAACTTCCATACTAGCCCGTAACTGTGAAACCTACTGCCTGCAACAGAAAGAAATCTCTACAAGCAAAACAGCCCAGTTATTTCAACAGAACCCAACAGAGGTTATTAGAAACAATGTATTTGCTGTAGGTCTTATTATTAAATGTAGTCTGTCAACTGCAGGACAGAAAATGAACTGATAACGTTTCGCTTTTAAGACAAGTCTATGTAACCAGTGTAAACTCTGGTATGGTCACCCGTGCTTAGAGAGGAACAAAACTGAAAAAGTGTTTGTTTATGAGTAAGGAGCAACCTGGAAGATACAGATGAGCCAAGGTCAGAGTAGGCGTTGGTTCTGGTCTCATCATCAGGACATGGGCTACTGGGAGTAAAATCCACATCATCTCCTTCTCCATAGTCTTCAAACTGTTCTTCATTACTGATCAGAGAGGTGGTGGAATAAGTTGAGAGGTCACATGCTGCAGAAGGGTTGTGAGGACATGACCTGAAAAAAGAGGTCAAAACGTCTTGAAGGCCGACTTTGATAGCACCTCACCTCACATGGAATCTTCCACCTTTACAGCTTGTCCCCTCATTTGAAGTTGTAACCCACTTAGTTTGTGCTAAAAACCTTAAGTGCTAAACACATCTGATGTGCATTTGACATGGTGCCCTGAAAGACAAGAGCATGAGAGTCTACAAACAAGCTACCTGTGAGACGCATCTGGATCAACACAAGCCATGTCACTTTGAAGAGCACAACTCGACCATCCTCAGTCATCATTGCCATTGCCATTGCCATGTGGTGGTGAAGTCAGGCACCACAGGAAAGCAGCTGGTGGAGCAGTTTTGAGCGTATCACATCTAATACAATGGAGCAAGTTTGCTGCAGAGAGTGCACAGCAATTCTCCTGCCCAGAGTCCAGACTACCCTGCAGTGTGCTAAGTTACAGAGGCAGGTATTTTACACAGATTTGCTCAGCTCCTACCTCAGTAAGGCATTCAAACAGACAAGCCAATAAATTCACACACAAGTTTTTATAAACAAACTTCTCCACACAGAAAATGCACATCTAAGGCCTGAAACAAATGTTTTGCTTGTGAAGCCCTGGAGTTGCTCGACATATTACTGCTCCTATCACAAAGAAGAATCCAGTGCTTCTGCAATACAAACAAGGCACTGATTCGATTTGCTGACACTCTGTGCTTATTGAATTAAGTTTTTTACTCCCTTTGCTTCAGTGCACAGTGATCTTCAACTCCAGCAACTGAGCCATGGGACAATAGCTCCCGGCTGATGATGTTCTCCAGCAGCTAAACAGTATTACCTCCTAGGTTTCTTCTGAGTCTGCCTTGAGCCTCTTAACCATGCCCTGTGCTTTTGGAAAGGGAGATTCCTCTTCCTGTAATACCACACTTGTGAGCTGTAAACAAGAGATGCAACAGTGCTCCTTTGGCGGATGGTGCAAGCATTATTTGCATATCCCTTCCTTCCAAAAGCAATTAGTAGAAGAGGAAGCCTGCCAACGTTTCAGATGTATGCTCTTTTGTTTCTCTTGTTTTGATGAGATCCATTTATAACCTGCAATTCATTTATCTAATCCACATTAACAGAAATTAGGGCAAGTCAAGCCTGGCACACTATTAAAGGATGAAAATCATGAAGATAGGAATACTCACACTAGAAATAGATCAAACTTATCTAACAAGGCTCCTTGGCTGGGAGACAAATTAGTGAGAAGCTCATCACATCACACTAACATATATTCATAAAGAACTGCTGTGCCACAGACATAACGTGTCTTGATAAGGTTTTGGGTAACTATGATCTGCGTAACTGCACCTGCTGTTTTCATCTCAGTGTTGTTACACCAAGTCAGTTTAGGACGAAGCTCCTCATAACACTTTCCCCAAGGATGGAGGTAAATGACCAGTCCTCAGCTGGGATAATAACGTGTACTTGTCCATAAAATCCACTCTCCAGCATAACAGCCCTGGAACACCACCACTTGCCAGACTGGAGTTCAGCAGCCTTATTGCTTAAGCAAGGAGTTGCTAAAAGCAGCTGGTTTCCCCCATTCTAACACTTTCTGAAGGAAGCTTTCAGGTTTGGGTTTTTGGGGTTTTTTTGAAAGCTATTTCCTGTTCTTCAGAGCAGGACTTCACAGAAGGCTGACACATCTGATACACAACCTGCCTGCTTCTTCCAAAAGCAGGTAGTGTGGTTTGGCCAAGGTAGAAATCTCTATCACGTCTTTTAAGACAAAAGCATGAAGCTTCCCACGTGTTCTCCCAGATTTACCAAAGCTGAGGAGGCCTTAGAGGATAAACCAAGATCTATTAGTAGCACAGTAGCTCTCAGTAGTTGCTGTTCCCCTAGATGGAGGGTGCAGGATGCACAACGCGTCCCCGCCTTCCCCAGCTGGGAGGAAAGATAACTCCTTTCAAATGCAGTACGGGGAAAAGTCAGTCACCGCAAGGATGGGTGCTTTGAAGAACTGGGAATGGCAAGGCAAGGAGACAAGTTTGGTAAAAAGCTGATGAGAACTGGAATTGTCTTGATAAAGTCTCTGGGATTGCGTGGGCAAGTGGGAGAAGGCCAGATCTCAGCTAGCTGAGAAGTTCAGGGGTAGGAATGAAGCTGCACAGAGAGCAGCCGAGGTGGCCCAGGAGAGAGAAGGAGGATTGCCTTAGGAACGACAGAAGCTCAAGAGGCACAAACCAAGATGACAAGCCAAAAATAGGGAAGATAGGGCAGAGGCTTACAAAGCAAGCCCAGCTGAGCTCTGTCCTGTGGTACTGCATTAACTCAGCTCAAAGTGGGATTAAATCAAGTTGGGTCCCTTTCCCCCAGTACACCCTCCAGGTACACGCCAGGAAAGAGTCAAGTTAGGATTACAGAGACACTCTTGTGTTAACAGCAAAATATGGTTACACATCCAGGACATCCATGTTAAACACAAGTTACTGTTGCGCACTAAAGGTTATGGAAAATTAGAAACACACAGAATTAACTTGGTACATGGAGTTGCAAAAACAAATATGCAGAATCCACATCTTCAGGTAACTAGATGTACAAACAGCTAAAGCAGCATTCCCCATATTGCACTGCTTTGCAGGAAGTATTTGTTTTAACTGCAGCAAATAAAGGTTATGGGAACACAGAAGACCCTAAGTTTGGGGGATGCCAATTCAGTGATCCATTTGGGAGGGACCCAATGCTTTCACTTCAACACGCAACATGCCAGTCCCATGCATGCTCACAGAACATGCCAGAAGGAGCCAGGGCTGAGACTGTCTAAGCCACTTATTGGACCTGGACATCCGTCTCCCTTATATTGTAAATGGATATTAAGTTTCTAAATCCTTCAGGCATCCTCAGCCTCCCACAGCAGGGATTAGTCACATAAAGGGTCCTTCCTCCCTGGTCCTTTGGCACATGCCTCGAAACAGGGCTGCCAAGGAGCAAAACCACCACTCACTTGTCACCAGGCAGAAACAGGCCACCAAGAACACCGTCCTTCTCCTCGCTCCGACACATGTCAAAGGCCTCTGAGCTCTGAGCACTCTCAATAGCACTGTCCATGTCAGACTCATGGTGAACCTCTTGCTGTGCTAGAGTCATCGTGTCGTCATCAGGAAAGAGCTCCGACTCGCTGTAGGCGCTTTCACTGTCCAAGTAGGCACAGTCCTGGATTTCACCACCCTGGCAAAAGAAGAATTGGGAGAAAATTCAGATCATCATTCAAGGCAGTTAAGAGGATACAGGAGAAGCAAAACCCACTCTGTGGATGCCCTTGCAAGCAATAGTGATACTGAATTAAAGCCATAAAACAAAAAGCCTGACCTGCTTTATAAAAGGCCAGATCCTGCAAGCCCCTAGGGTAGCTTGCACCATCCAGAAGGGCTCAAATACTGTCTCTGATTTGGTGTCTCTGTTCTATAGGAGACAGAGACACAACACCTAGGGATAAAATGCAGCCAGGTTTGCCCTAATTTACTATCAAAGTGCACTTGGAGTAATAAATATGCTCAAAGTTTATTATAAAAAGAAACACCCTCTGTAAGAAGATAACCATGGGACCAACTCTCAGTATTACTGATTAAAATAAAAGCATGCCAGATAAGTCTAACAGTTTACTTGTCTTCAAGGATGGGCAAAAATCAGTAAGGTGAAAAAAGAGCTGGCAAATCTTAAAACATTTATGGTAAATCTTGGTGACAATCAAAGACATAAGGGAGCAGAAAAACCCCCAAAGCCATCTGTTCCTGCTTCCTGGAACCACGTCTTGATTAAGTATCAACTAAAATAAGATGTCACTCATTACTGCAACACTTTGCTCTTGCTGTTTGTCCTCCCCTCCCCTTCTTGCCCCATGAACACCCACAATAGCCAAGACAAGCTGTTTACTATTTGCTTGTCCCTTAGGGACAAATAAAAATACTTAATTGTAAAAAACAAAGCCTCAGATTTTACTCTGTCCTATGTTTGATACGTAGCAACAAATACTGCTTTGACAATTCCCATCCAGCGTTACACAAGTAACTCAAGACTCCAGAGCGAGTCCTGCAAATGCTCTCAGAGCTCCCCTCCAGAGCTCACCTGCAAGCTCCACAGGCTGTGTTGTCACTGAACTTGCCAGCAAGCTGAGACAATCACACATTCAAGGCACAAGTAAGGAAGCATTTCATTCACAGATACATCTCATATTTAGGCTCAACTGCTCCTTCCCCAGGAATCCCACAGCAGTGGGAACCTGGCACAATGGCAAACACCAGCTGCCCTTCTGGCAAGCACATTCAGTGGGACACTGATAGAGGCACTGCTTGCAGCAGCACGGCTTCAAGTCACTCCTCACAGCCTCTGGACACTCCTATGCTATGGCCACAGAGGTTTAAATCCCCTTCTGCAGAACTAGCGACGTTCTATGCTGATGACATCAATTTTTCTCAGTGCCTTTTTCACCTCAACATGAGAAAAGTCAGACAGAAGCTGCAGCTTTTTAGGATTTGCAAAAACTGCTACTAGAAATGCAGGTCTAACCTTCAATTTTTTCCTGAAATACCAGTTTATAAGACTGTGAAAATTCCCAGCATATGGAGATTAAAGAAATTCAAAACAACCCCACCTGCTCAAACCTCGTTAACTAATGAACACCCAAGCAGCCAAAAGGACAGCTTTAGCTGCAGTGTTTGAATCTCTAGGCACACACTCAGAGCAGATCCCTGGATGCTTTTGTAGGTGAGCTTTCAACAGGTCTTCCAGAGACACAAATAATATCAGTAAGACACTTCAGCACTACACAATAATAAGCACACACGTATAAGCCTTCTTACACTTTTCTATATCAGCCTTAATAAGCCTGAAACTTTCCCTAGGTACCACTCCAAGAGATGTCCAAAAGGATTTATTCTTTCTCTATGTCACGTAACATTTGCTGAAGCCACACTGCCTCAATGCAATCAAATTTCCAGCTCTCAGTCACAGCACCTTCAGCGTGGCCATGACCCCTCATCCGCAGGGCACTGGCAGGTCAGACACCAGCCATGGAGCATGCTCGGCCCCAGCCTCTTCAGCACATCTGCAGCCCTGCACCTTGCATCCTCATAAGTAAGCAGATATAATGGCACTGTTGTTCTCTGCAAGTACCTTGGGATCTAAAAACAGCACAAGCAGCAAGACCTTTTTAGTAGGTGTTGAAAAAGTAAAGGTTGTTAGGAGCAATTAAGACGTTTCAGAAGTATCCAGGAGTGTTTGTTTATCTAACATTTCCCCAAAGGTTTCTCCTGCATGCTAAGCCCCACAGGCGCAGAGCATTAAAAAGTTTAATGCAATAAAGCCCTGACTGCCATTATGGAGCTGCACCAGCTGGTAAAATCTAATTTTTTAGAGGGGGGCACAGAGCACACAGTGGATCCCTGAAGTAGGAGTTTGCAAATTAAGGGAGGGAAGGAAGGAACAGCTCTTGCACAGCTCTACCTCCCAATTAGCACGTCTTGTTCAGAGGTCTTGGAGAAGTCTCTGCTTAAGCAAGATTTTGGAATATCTCACCGGTATTAAACAAATTAACACAAGAAAGCAGAGGTCAAGAAGAGCATGAAAAATTCTCTTTTTGTTCCCTGTAGGTAACACTTGCTTTTACTAATAATAACAGCTAAGATGCTCTTTAAAACAAGTCCATTAGCAATTAAATGTGCAGTGTCACCTGGAAAGGCTAAGGGCTCACTTTTCTTTCCTGTTACTTTCTGACAATGTAACCTCCACGCAGTTACTTGTATTAGAGTACTGATCTATAGCTACAGCACCAACTGCACTGTAGCCATGCTGGTCAGTACCATGTGTTCTGTTTCAATGTGTAACTGTTCTGCTCCTGAACTTTCACTTCTAAGCCCCATGAAATAAAACAGAAGAAAAGAAATGAGCTTTTGGAGGCAATGACCCATCGTACACCTGAACACCTGCCCTACAGCTTCTGAAATGCCTCACTGCAAGACTTGGAAGCCTTCCTGGAAGCTTCTGCTGATCCCATCCTCAAGCTGTGGGGAGTCCAGGGACTGATGGGGACCGGATAAAAGCAGAACAGGGGTCAGCCAAGCTCCTTTGAGGAGCCCCCCCTCAGCTGCCCTCCACTGCTTCCTCTCAGCAGGGAAAGTGGATGCCAGTGACAGCCACTGTGCTGAAGCCTGTATGACTGCTTTGGGTAAGCACTACACGCTTAGCTATTAAGCTTTAAGAGCTTAGGGGTGGGAAGTCACTACACCCCTAATAATGCAGTGTTTTCAGGCACATGAATACCTCTGATGTGCAACACAGAAAAGTAAAGTATGGGACTTGGATGGCACAACTGAGGTGTCTCTTCAGCTCCAGCGGTGAAACCTTCAGTGCAAAAGTCACAATTACACATTTAACAAAGTTTTCCTTCTGAGGCCTAAATAACCAGTAGAGGAAAACAGACAAAGGACTTTTAAAATAACTAATACTGGTTAAGAAAGCTACTGCAAGAAGTTAAAATTGGGGCATGCCACTAGTAAACAATATACAGGCATCCACACCTTACTGACTAAAGCTATAAGATATTTGAAGCTGTAATTGTTCCGTGATCACAGTTTCTCACAGGACCATCCTTTCAATGATACCATCCAGCACAAGCTGTTTACAGACCACACCTATGGAAATTAAACCCTTTTAAAAAAAGAGAGAGAGAGAGAGAAAAAAGAAAAAGAAAAGGTTGATCGCACAGTCTAACCTCTCAAATTATTCCTTCATAGTTTAGGTATCTACAGTACTTCAAATTAGAGGCTGGCAAGAACAAGTGTTATTCAGGTAGCCTTAAAAGAGCTAACTTGAGTTTAAACAGTATGTTAAAGAGTAGGAGACACTTCTATTCTGAGTCATTTGTTTTCAGTGTACCTGTCATTAGCCACAACCAGTAAGAGAATGAGGTTCTGACAACCTGAATATGAATCACGAGTTTCTCTTTCTGCAAGGCAGCTCCCTTCTTTGTTGGCTGAGTCACAAGAGATGAAGTTGCTGCTTACCATCTTGGAAGATCACATTAAAAAAAAAAACAACATTAAAATACCACCAACACAACAGCACTGCAGATAGCTTTAAAGCAGTAAGTACTTTGCACTTTATCTAATCGGATGCTCAAGATAACTCCAAGTGCTTCACAGGCAGTCGGCCAGACACTTGTATAGCAACTGTTGAATATTCAGCAACAGTTTGCTCTATAGAAGCACCTGCTGCCCAAAGATCCAAGGCCACTTCACAGAAACTAATGAATTCCCTTCCTCGAAAGAAGCAATTGTGTGGCTGCATTGATGGCAGATGAGCAGGCACCGGCTGCCTTTGCACAGCCACCCCTAACAGCAACAGGAGCCAGAAGACTGCGATTCCCACGGATTCCTTCTGATCCTTGTGGGGCAGGAAAGCGGCATCGGCATTAGGTGGTATGAGAATACAGCTCTGCCTTGCCCTGCAGTGACCTGGCTGGGTTTTCCCAGCTTGGAAGCAATCCCTAAAATATGCACATAAAGCAGCTGAAAGCTAGTAACTTGGCTGACGGGCAGGCTACATGACATGCCTACATCAATACATTCACGCTGAAAAGCAAGTTAGTTAAAATTCGCTCCTGTCACAGCCAAATCACCAGCACCCCTGACGTTTAGACAGACTCCCAGTATTCTACAGGAGGCAGGGAAGAAAAGAGGATCCACGTCTGTCACCACTGGGCAGTGTGATTACCAAGAGCTGGAACCATCACACAGGAGCAGAAACAAGAAATGTCACATCCACGTCAGCCACTTCCCTTGCCAGGATCATGTCCCCGGCCTGCTGAATCTGCTGGCTGTGGGACAGATGCAAGTCTGAGCTCCTGCACGCTCCTCATTCAGTATCTTCTCAGGAAAAATGCAGTAAAAGTCACCTCACCACAAGTGGAAGGAAAGAAGTGCGATGTGGGGATGTGCCAGGCTTGGTGGTTACAGATTAAATGTTACTTAGTGTTGCACATCCATCACAGAGAAAAGCCAGGCTCCCTCATCTTTATTTAAGCAGCCACTGCATTGCAAGTATTCTCTTAATTACTGGGTAAGAAGGAAGGGTGTGAAGCACTTCTCACCAATGTGTTTTAGAAACATGCCACTCCTGTACAGACGTTTGCATTATTTACACCAAGTGGACTATGAGCTTTTTTTAAAGCACAGATTCTCCCCCAA